CTCATGCCCAGACGTGGTAAACATGGCACACTAACACAGTAATACATTAGCTATAATACAGCCAAAAAACTCAAATAAAACCATTCTAAAAGCCTGTATCACAAACATTTAAAAAACGCCTAGGGGTATTTGCCCACTGTACCTCCATACCAAATTTCAGGACCTTAGGCCCTAAAATGAAGAAGCTGAATCCATTTAAAAAATGGCAGGAGGAGGAGGAGGAGAAGGAGGAGGAGAAGAAACATCAGAAAAAGCAATATGGTTTCACCACACCACTTCGTGGTGTGGTGAACCCATAACTATTAAATATCTCCATAGTCACAACAAATGTTAAAACAATAAATTGATATTGCTATACGTACATCAAGAGCCAAAAGATATTAATCATGGCTTTTCTCGAGCAAGCATGTGCAATATAGAGATGCATGGTTATAGTGCATGTGGCATGTGTAGCCCCCTGCATGGCACAACTTACAGGTGCAGGTCAGACCGTCGCCGGTGTACCCCAGCTGACAGCGACAGGTATAACTGTTTCCCAGCGGGATGCACTCGGCCCTCTCGTGGCACCGGTTTGACTGCTCACAAGCATTAGCGGCTGAATGAAGCATGCATGCATGCAGAGTTTAGCACATCCACCATGAATAAGTATGCACTATTTCTCCATATGGCATATCAGTTTAGGTGTATATGTCAGTATGAAGTGGTTACAATGATGTCACTGCAGCACATTCCATCACAGCAAAAGTACCCAAATACCCAGCCCTGATAACAAAACATGAAAGTATGTGACTTTCATATCTAAAAGTATTTCCTTACCACAGAACACTCTATAATCATACCATATGCCTTTATGATAAATTGATGAAGATAAGCATATGCAAAAAGTGCTTGTACAGTAAATGCTGAAATAAAATTTCATTTAGGAGCAGTGATTGTAAGACCCAAACGTACGACCAATCACACAAGAGATGGAAGTCTCACCTGAGCACGTCCTGCCATCTCCACGGTAACCAGCTTTGCACTCGCAGGTGTAGACTCCCTGCCCGCGGTCCACACAGACAGCATTCACGTCACAGATCGATGAGCCGCACACACCAGACTGTCTCGTCTCACTCGACAAAGTACCTCTGTCCGCTGCATGTTAAAATCATGTTAAAGTTAACAATTCTCAAGGTTTCTCACACATATCAAATTCTACATGAACATGTAGATAAGGCTTAAAAAATTAACATTACTATACACACTAAAAAAGACCTCCTTAGAAACAACAGGAAATGGCTTAATATGCTTCAAAATGTTGGAATATATCAGAAGATGTTTCCTTACAAAAACAGCCAAACCCATCGCCGATGAAGCCAGGCTTGCACTTGCAGGTGTAGGCAGACCCAATGGCTATGCAGTAAGCATTTTCATCACAGGTATTCTGTGCACAGGCATCATAAGGCTGAATCAACTCGGCTGTGAGAATAAAGAGCCAAGAAGTCAACTGATGTTAATATGCTGTGGTATCAGTTATGTCATGAAACATTTGCAAATACAAACTACCAAAGTGTAGAAATTTGGATGCAATTAGCTAGAAAGGTTAAACATTTCTTGCCCCAAAAATAACCCATTTGAAGAAATGGACCACAGTATATGTACCATACACAAATACAGTTACCCGCTAAACCAGTTAATCATATGGCCCAAAACATGTTGCAATGAAACATTAAACTGCAAGCAACTACAGATTAGGCTATTAAGGAGTGTATACTACAACAGAACTACAGATGGCTAAAAAGTGGGAAGCTACTTGTGTGCCTGCTTCAGTGAGAAGAAGCAGATCCGAGGCGTGTCCAGAAGTGATGAGAAGAAGCCCCATTAGAAGTCAGCGGGCATTACTGTCATATTCTCCAGCGTCAGAATGACCGTAATGCTCGCTGCTTTCCAACAGGCCGAAGATGGAGTCCAGGAGCAGCAGGGTGAATCGAGTAGAGTTCCACAAGACTAAAGGCAGGCTAAATATACTAGTACACACATTCTAGCAAGGACTGTAAACTTAATCTGTGTAAGAGACTGAAATACTAGGACTCTATGGGTAGAACTTTAAGGCTATATCTAACTAGACATTAAAAAATTCCAACTGTGTTATGGAAACATTACTGAAGCTTTGTTCCTACAGTACTCATCTGAGGTGAGTCATGAAGACAAGGCAATCCCCAATAATGGAACAAAAATTAGCAGCAGTTGTATTGCATACATGTATAAACATGCCAGCCTGATAAACAAAAGCTGCCTATAAGAGGCAAGGCTCCTGTGCTTGAGTGCTTTTAAGTTTGATACAAACATACACAAGTAACAGATTAGCTTCAGTCTACAGACTATCTATCGTTTATCTTCTTTATTATTTGTTAAGCTTGAAACATAAGTAAATACTTATAATGCAACTAACAGAAGTGCATCTTCAAAAGCAAAAAATCTAAGATCCCAATCATACAAATTTCACTGTGAGCAAAAAGACTACATCCTAAAAGGTAGGAAAAGTGACAGTAAATTGAAACTATTTCAGCACAGTTTGTACTCACGTGTACACTGTAGACCGTTTCCTTGGAAACCCTGGTTGCACCTGCAGGAGTACCTGTCCTGGTACGGGATGCACTGGGCATTGGGGTCGCACCTGTTCTGTTCACAGGGGTCAGTTGAGGTCCCCATGTCAACAGCTGTAGGACACAGGAGGGAACTTTTTTTAATGCTTAAGATTTGTGTTCTCATGTTATTATTCTGTCCAATCCACCAAAGATGGTCCTTTTCAATAGAATTCCCCCTGGAAAAAAATATTAACAAAGAGAAAATAGTGTCTAGCAATATTTCATTCCAACATTGGAGCTTCTTTTAAGTTTATAACTAAAAGTATCATCAGTAGGCATCTATCTCAACATTCCTCCTGAAAGTAAAAGTTACAACAAAGTAAGATGAAAATCTCTGTAGATCAAGCTGTAATTTCTCAAAAAGACACAGACCACAGACTGGTATCATCAGTGGCCTGATAAATATTTCTTCAATCAAAGCTGTCCAAAGTAGTAAAAAGCGAAAGCAACAAAAATCCTTACACAGCACGCATGTGCGTCCGTCCCCAGCATATCCAGGGCCACAGAGACACATAAAGTTGAAGGAGTCTATCTCTACACAGTCAGCAGCAGGGTGGCAGTCATGGTTTGTGCAGGGGCTGGCAGCTGGAAGCGAGGGAGGGGCAGGTTGCAAGGCAGCGTATGCAGATGGAAGGACTGAAGCAGGTGCATTAGCCAAGCTTAGGCAAGCTGCGTACTTGTAACACAAATGGCACAGACATGCAAATAAATTGCTGCAAATTGTATAAAACACACAAGTTTTATTATTACTTTCGATACATGCTTCTCATGCATTCCATAGAACTTTTATACAGAGCCTATTTTAGCACAAATGTCAATACTTATTTTGTTCATGCAAGTAAACAGATACTTCAACACTTGTTATTGATTTAGAAGCAGGCAGTATTTTGGTGAAACACGGTATCAGAAAGAGAACTGATACCACAAATTGCAGCACAAATGAGCAAATCAGTCTAATATGTACTTGAATTTGATGCGAAGAAAAACTTCTTCTTAGACTTATCACTGTAATCTCTATGTAGTTGAAATGACAATTTCAGCACCAACGTTTTTTGCAATGCTGAACCACAACAGCAGTACAATGTGCAAATCTGTATCTAGGAAAGAGGCAACCACTACACATTGTGTCGGGCATACCGTCACATCTGAATCCAGTTCCTGAATACCCTGGCATGCACCTGCACTCGTACTCATTGGCCACTCCTGCTATGCAATATGCATTAATGTCGCACATGTGATCCCCTGTGTGACAGGGGTTGACTGGAAGGGAAGCACTCTTGGTCATCTGAACAACTCTGTTGATGTCACACATGCTCTCCCCACTGTGACAGAGGGTGGCTGAAAGGAAGGTAATGTTGGTCAACTGAATCACTTCAGCAGCAGAACAGGCACTGGGATGTCCATTCCCAACCTAATATTTATCCTGACACTAGGGGTTAATCGTAACCATGTGTGTGGGTCAAACATGTTCTCTTCTTCGCAAGCTCCGAAGAGAAGCTCACTTCCTGTCTATGTACACGACACACAATATTAGGTAGTCGCCACCGTCACGAAGCCCGCACACAGACCGGCAGGGCTACGAATGGCGGACTGCGGGCTGCGGGGAGATAGGGAAGGAGGAGAGGGGAGAAGGGATGGAAGTAATTAAGAGAGGGGTAGGGGGTAATCGTGTACGCCGACAGGAAGTGGAATTTCTTGGTCCTCAGAAAAACCACAAGGGCCAAATGGTTATCAGTAATTTAGTAAATGAAGCTATAGATCATGTTGTGTTAGTGGACTGGTACTGATCCTCTTAGGATGTTACCTGGTACTAATTAGCTGGGTAATCACCCATGGAACCACATGCATCCATCTGGACACAGTTGCTACCACTTACACAGGGACCATTACAAGTTGCATATAAGGATCATTCCATTTTGAGCAGGGATGCAAAGGATGCCATTTTGTCACTATTTGGACATTTGACTTAAAAGACAATAAACTAAAGACTGTTAGAGTGAATTATCAATGAGCAAAATATTAGGATAGTTGTCGACTGGAATGTCACAGTGGGACAATCTAGAACAAATACTTACATCTGCAGTTGTAGCCAGTTCCAGTGAAGCCAGGCTGACACATGCAGGTGTAGTCCTGCTTACAGGGACAGTCGCTGGGTACAGGGTTGGGGATGCAAACAGCGTTCATGTCACACCTGTTCCCCAGACAGGGATTCTGGAGCTGGCTGGCAGGGCTCATGGAGTCAATCTTCATCAAATCTAAAAGCAAGTAATTGAAAACAGGTTGTGAAAACCTTGATCTCAAGTCCAAAATTTCTATTTTTATCAACAGTCCTATCTAGTAGCCCAACTGACCCAAATACCCTTGTCAAGATATATCTTGTGTTATCTTCGAGTTGATTAACCAGCTAGTCAATTGCAGCCACCCTTATCAGCTCAACCTACAATTTGTACCATTCCTGCAAAGTGCGTAAATATGTATTTGTGGCACACTGTAAAATCAGCTGTGATACCTGGGTTATCAAATATTATGTTATGTTGTTATATCATCAATGAATACAGCAATAAATAATCAACACTTGGTTACATCTTGAACTTGACATGCAGTAGAAGTATTATCCGAGGTCTGGTATTTGAAAGGACCTCTCACCATCATCACACATCATATTAAGAGCTGAAGACTACACTAAAGCTACACAAATCTAACTCCTTGGTTCCAGGAATCCATTTTTTATTTAAATAATGTGTGACAGAAAAAGGTCTCAACATTTTCTCAATTTCTTCCATTTGTATTAAACTTTTCCCTGCAAAGATTCGGGAACCACGATGTTAGATTGTTGTGGCCCACTTCCTCCTATCTACCCCAGGTCAATAAGAACCTGTGTAGCGGAGCTGTCGTTTCACCCGCGAGGGGGGACTGACATCGCAGTCGCAGAACAGGGGGTCTGTTCTTCCCGCATCTGGAAAGGGCAGGCAGTGTTACTGGGATAACAAGTCCTTGGTTTCACAACACATCTTCTTACCATTTCCAGGGCGTGCATACTGTGCAGTTACACTTACATAACAGCATACTCCTTTGATTTGGCAGACCATCTTAACCTGACATGCAGCATCGCTGGTAAGGAAGTGACATTAGGAAGTTTTCCATTAAATTCTGCATACCATGCATCACAATTCAACATTGGTGATAGGAGATCACACGTGCTGTCCACAAATTGAAGTGTGCATGCTTTAGGGTTAGAATTCTAAAATAAAAAAATCTGAATGACAGCTTTATTTTATCCAAGTACATGTAAAGTAACAAGTGTGGCACACCAACCTCTCTTTGATCTCCTTGTCTTATTCTTGTTTTTCTTTGTCATGTTGACACCCTTCCAGACGACAGACTGCTTGGGGCGGCACTTGCCGGCCAGCTCAACAAACCCAGGCTTGCACTTGCAGATGAGCGATGCTTCACTGCTGTCAGGGTTGTACCGTCCAACGCAGACTGCGTGTCTGCCACAGCTGGTCTTGTTACAGGGGTTGGGGTAGTCTTCAAATGGAGATGACAAGTGTCAGTGCTTTAACAATACTATTATCTCTAAGACTATGCCCTATTGCACCTACTAGTACTGAGAAAAGAACTAAAGCAACTATAATGAGATCATTAAACATTAGAGCAAACTTTTTCACTTCATCAAAATACAGACAAGAAGGAACGATATGTCGAAAAATAGAATTTACAAATTAAAGATCAGACATGCAATAGCGTTAAGCAGGAAGATTGAGTATGGGTATGGATTAAAGCTATCTTCCATTGAAGTCTTACATGACTTTGCAATGCCTAAAGCATAGATAGTGCTGACTTTACCTATAACACAGCGGTCGCCCTTCTGTCTGTATCCTGGCAGGCACTTACACTCGTACCTCAGACCTGCCCTCTTAACACACAGGGAGGTCTCCTCATCGCAACCATGAGACCCCTCCACACACGGGTGCTCAAACTTAAACTCTGGGGAGGAACCAACTTGACACATGGAGCAACAACAACAACAATAACAACAACAAGCATCAGTTTGCAAGCATCATCACCAGATCAGGTCACATGCTTGGAAATGTGGGTAGATGAACCAACCACCATATCACCCGCCATAGCTTACCGCCATGCAAGAGAGAGAGGACATGCGATCGGAGGGGGTAAACATTAAAATAGGCAGATAGTGAACACAACAGAACTTTCCCACGATCTATGCAGAGCTCAAGTGCAACAGACAGATTACATGCAGCACTACTAGTTTTGACACACATTACCGTAGAAAGAAGGGTTTTAATTACAATGTACATGTAGTATGTTTTTAATGAAACACTCACAACAAATTAAAAGAAGACCTAAGGGTAAATAAATCAAAAACTTTGAAACAGGAATAGTATACTTAAACATTTTAAGAAAATAGAATCTGTAGAGCCAGTTAGCATACAAACATGCAGAAAGAAGGGAGGAAACATACACACAAACATGTGATCACATGCCCTCCCTTTCCAGCCATGGCCAGAATCTTATCATAAAGCATATAAGGCAATAAGCTTAGCAAGCCTTTTACCTGTGACCCATGACCTACCTACACACGTGCGGCCGTCACCAGTGAAACCTGGGTTGCACTCACACCTGTACCGGCCTGCACCCAGCGGGATACAGCGAGCACGTTCAATGGAGTCACAGTCATTGGTTCCATCGTAGCATGGGTTTTGCGACGGCTGGGGGGAAAGTGCTGGAAAACAAAGTTCTCATAGTTACTTTCTCAATTCCAAATATTTATAACTTGTGTTTCAGGTCTAGACAAATCAGGATTTACACACATACATTTGCATTGACCTCCCATCAGAGATAAGGACCCCTTTTCATGTCACATAAAAGCTTCCCTGCTGTTTCCCTTGTAACATTTAATTTCTCTTACAGACATTGTAACTAAACTCTAGAGAAAATAGCATGAAAATAGTACATTGTATTAACTTACGAGTGCAGGAAGAGAAGCCATCCCCTTCATAGCCAGGAGGGCAAACACACCGGAAAGTTCCAATCTCGTTGATACAGTTGGCATTGGGAGCACAAGGCGGTGTTCCACTATTGCACTCATCGATATCTAAAAATAACATCGAAAATGAGAAGAAAATAGATCGTTGTTAATGACAAGAAGTGTAATGTAGTGTCACTTGACCAAATATTGTTTTTGATGAGCCAGTTATCTAAAAAGTTTCATTTCCAATAAATCAAATCAAATCAAAGTTCAATCAAGGGTGAGGGGTGTTTTACCTTGACAGTTGCGCCCGTCTCCGGTGTAGCCTCCCACACACTCACAGGTGTACTGCTGCCCCTCCAGGGCCACACAGCGAGCACGGGAATGGCAGTCATGCTGACCAGTCTGACAGGGGTTCAGCACAGGGGCAACAGGAGGGCCTGGGTCATGTGAGAGGATAGATATGATCCAATTTTAGTATTTTGGCACCGCATAACAATATGCAAACTTTTAAATAAGTACGGTGAACAGTAAACCATGGGTGATTATGGCTGTCATGCTGAATTTTTTTCATAAAAAGATTATGCAAATCGGCCAGGTTTTAGAGGGACTTTTACCAACTTGAACAACTGCTTCTAAAACACTTGAACAACTGCTTCTAAAACATCCCATGTATTTCCTCAGGCTTTTGAGGAGGTATGAAACCACAAAATGCTACCAACCTGCCATGGGGGACACCTTGGTGGTCATGGCGTATCTCACAATCTCCTCCTTGTTGTCGAAGAACACAAAGTTGCGCGACACGTCCACACGGAGAGAATCAGTGACCAGACCCTCGGCTGGCAGGTTGCAGCCTGCCTCATCATATTCAATAGTCTGATCCCAGGTGTAGTTATAGATGCGGTTGCCAACGGTGTAGCCACGGGAGGCAATAGACTTGATCAGACCTGCAGCAAGGTTTTTGTTTGCGTCAGTTAAGTATACTTCCTAACATTCTGCAACAAACACTGCAGTGTATTTTGACCCTACCCAGAGATATGATGAGAAAAGATCATTTTTAGAAAAAGATCATTTGTATCACAGCTAACCTCCACCAGAAAGACAAGAAAAAGGAGCAAAACATCAAGGCTGATTTACCGGGAGCAGTTTTCTGGTATATCTCTTGGTATTCTCCAACCACGACCTTGTCAGCAGCAGCGATGGGGGGCAGCTCTCCGCTCAGCTTGGTCGTCATGGTGAGGTAACCAAAGTCATCCACGCCCTGGAAGTCCTGCTCCACCTGGAACACCTGGTTGCCGGGGCGGAAGGTCACCACAGCCGTGCGCTTGAACACTCCACCTGAGGGACCATACCCAGGTTAACCTGTTTTCTTTCCATCTGCTGACATATCTACAAGTCAATTGCTCTCTCTAATTTTGGATATCTACTGATTGTTTCTTATCATTTAGTCTTTCTAGTCTTGATTTATGTTACTAATCATATGCCTAACCTAACATCCTTTTTTGTAAATAGATTTCTGGGGGGAAAGAATGAATATGTAAAATGCCAAGTGTAGCAAATAACAGTACCCTGAAAATAAATCTGATATCTCCTCATCACACAAACAGCCCAATCCACCCCTCACCCGTCAGTGTGTATCCGTTGACAGCATTGGCCTGGGGGAGACCAAACAGCCATCCGATGATGCCACCAATGGTGGACAGAGGCTGCATGGCGTAGCCAACGTTCTCCTCAATCCTGCTCATCGCCGTGTAGGCACGTCCGTCATTTACCACCACATAGGAATGGAGGTCAATGTCCCGGAGGTCGACCTCATCTTTTCCTGACAGACGCACAGTTCCCTCCACCTTGCCATTCACCCTTTGGGGGGTTCCTATTGGATCAGCAGAAACAGTTATGCAACAGAACATACTGGAAATCTTGTAATATTTGTTTCACACCATCATATCAACAAACAGGCACTGGCATTTCCATTGTGTGGCTACAACTGTTTCAACCACAAACTTTCACCATTTAAGACTTTCACCATTTAACAAAATTTATGCGGCACAAACTTGAATGAATTTACAGTTGCACCTTCAGTAGACAAACAAAGTTATTCAGGTGTTGCATGCAACTGCGATGCATGCATTAGCAATAAAAGCTGAGTACTTTATACTCTAAAAGGTTTTGAGGTGTATTCCTCTGAATGTGTAACAATACATGCATTTTTTTTACAACAATATAAATGTAAGTATCAGAATACTCTACTGTGAAAACATCCGTATGTAATGCACCATTGTGTGATGTTAAGTTACTCAATGTGGTTAAACATATCATCTGGTGGCATGGATCATGTCATGTGCTTCAATTTTGATGGAGCTGCTGCAAATAATAATGAACGTTATTGTGGAGTTGTGGAAGTGAAAATGTGAGTAGTTGTGAGCAGATGATATTGAAATAACAGTAAGTTGTCAGGAAAACAGCAAATAAACTTCTAGCTTGTAATCTATCAATCTTGAAACTAAAAGGATTACTAGTACTATTACTAAAACAAGATAACTACTGATACTACACAACGAAATGAACATTTCTTTGGTTAAAAACAGGTTGTTGAAGGTGGTTGACATTAGTTGCCATGGTTAACACGGTTAGCAACAGCAGACACCTACATGGCAGCTACGTCTACAGCAAGATTCTCGGATGATCTGGGGACAACTTACCCACATTATTGCTGTCACTACCACCTGTATTCATAGGACAGAGAAATTTTCTAGGGTCATCATGTAACAAGTGATCATCCCTTGCCTGTCCCCCAATGGAACAGAGAAGAGGCATCACGTGGGCGAGAGCAGTTGCTCAGGCAGATAAATATTCAGATAAATATGCTCCTGTCCCTGTCAACACATATGTCTGTTACTAACCATCACCTTCTGTGGTTTGGATTTTGTCTTGGCTTTCAGCTGTGTGTTTAGCTCTTTGTCATTTGTCAGGAGCCAGAACAGCTGGTTGAATGTGAGGCTATTTTGTCTGATGGCTAGAAATGTTGTGTCTGATGAAGCAGTCTTCCTTTTTACTAGCATACAGCCTGGCACACAGTGCCATTCTAGGTGCAATCCTTCTTTGCCATTTTCAAATAAAACACTATAGTGACTTCACAAGAAGGTAAAGGACTGTAGAAGAGAACTAAATATTTTGTCTAGGATGGCAAAGGAATTAACCTGGGGACCAAAAGCAGGATAGCATAAAGCCTAACATGCAGTCATTTTGGGCTGTCCATGTCTACTTCCTATTCTTAAGAACAAAGAAGTAATAACAGCAGGCAAAAGAGCCTGTTACCAGGCCTGTAGCAGAACAGAGGTGCACAAAGCACATGAGGGATGCACTGGAGGATAGGGTCAACATAGTAACATGCAGGAATTCAAAGAAGGCAGACATCAGGTACAATATTTAAAACACAACTGAAAGATGTTCTTTTATTTGATGCTGTATATCCAGTAACATGCTGAAATGAAATGGAAGGTTTCTTCCAAAAGGTGCAGCTTAGAATTCCATTAGGAAAGTTACCAAATATTCAATGGTTTTCAAACTGATGGTCGTTTTTATTCCCTCTAATTGAGAATTGAAAAAGACTTTTTAAGAGACAACAGACAAAATATTGACAGCTGTAATCTCTCACCTGCAGGAAGACAGTTGATGCCGTTGCCATAGTAACCCTCCTGACAGCGACAGCAGCTGATTGGACCCTGTCTGGAACAGCGGGCGTTCTGGTGGCAGGAGTCACAGCCAGAAGACTGACCTTGGCCTTCCAGGTTAAAAAAGGTCACTGAACAAAATACATGCCTGGTATTATACCATACCAACATAGCAGATGGATTTGTTCTCTTAGAATCACAATACAACATTAGATATTGTGTGTGAGTTAGTGGATTGGGATATCAACCTGTCATCCTCCAAACCCATCCAGCAGTTATCTATCAAATCTCGTGATTGCAACATCTTCAGTGGTTCATTATGTCCATCCCAATATCCTGTTATCAAGGCTAACGCAGGGCAGATGGCAGGGCAGATGACGTGAGCCTACAAAATTTTTAGTATTTACCGGCATTTTGAAGCTAGTAACAAGTCGTTAACAACCATAGGTTGCTATTCAAGGTCAGACTCAAAACGTCTGCCATGACAGTCTCCAGGGTCTGTCTGCCTGATGACCTTTCATCCACTTTGCAACCCCTGGCAGCCAACCAAAGAACACCACTATCTTAGTATCTACCAGAACTTCAGCTGCAGGACTAGGTCAGTGGCCCAGATGCCAACTTCAACTATCATTCACCGACATGTAGTTGAAACCATCTGCTCTGGATCCACATTGCAAAACACAAACACCTTACACAATAGAGCAGTGGCTGTAGGAATCAAAAGTCCCTTGACTAGCTCTGGGCTCTATCCAATTAGCATTTTCAGTCACTACCGAGGTCATACTGAGTGGCAAGCTAGCACTTGTAACTGCCTATCAATGTAGGTGGAGTATACGATTCGCTTCAACCATGAAACTTCCATGCAATCCAAGCCAGGTGGACTTTTTAGAAAAAGGTGGCATCACAATGTTGAAATTTACAGATTGATTGGCATGAAAAATTAATACAATTTCTGTCAAACAACAAATCAAGCCTTCCCCAGAATGCACTACAGGTTACAATAATTTTATCAGTTGCCACCCACAACAAGGAACTGTTAAAAATGATCCTTTTTTGACCCGAAATCTTCCAACATCTCAAGTCACAGTTTGAGGCAACCCTGTCTTATCTAAATGTATCTTCCTGACTTGACGGATATGATTCTCCATTAGTCTATTACCTTGGAATGGGTCTTGATTGCTGGGGGTTTCGTCTCTGTTGAACTGACCAGTCCTGTCCACCGGTGCAGGTGCCACCTCCACAAGGGGCTCCCTGTTCCTGTTGAAGCTTGTCGAGCGATCGCTGTCCACAATGGGAGACTCCAGCTTGGGTTGGGCAGGGATGATGTTTTGGAATCCAGCAAAGGCTCCAATCTGGAAGAGCCAGGCTCCTCCTGTGTTCATGTTGGACCAGCTGCAGTTAAAGGGGGAGGTAAGGGAAGTTCCCTTATGTAAGCCCATTCAGGGTATCAAGTGTGGATACAACTTGGCCTTATTATCAACCACACAATGTCAAATCCTGTGGTTCCACTTGCGGCTCTTTTGTTTTCAATGAAGGTATAGGATTGGACGAAAACTGCATATTTGACTTAATTTGACCATGCCACCTAAGCTTTATGGTTCTTGGACCTATTTTTAGGATAGTAGGTCAAAGATCATGCAGAGCTATGTAAAAGTATTCTCTTGCAAAATAAAACATACAAACTTATGATCTACTATTACTAGAGAGAAACACTGATGAACACCAGCCAACCGAACCATGAGAAACAAAGAACTGACTAGTCCTGGCCTATCAAACATACTTGACATTGCAAGAGGAAGGAACAGTCCCACAGGTCACGCCATGTCACAGACCCACAGTGACCTACAACATCTTGAGGGCCTCTGTGCTAATATTGACTTGAAGCAGTTCCAACCTTACAGTTTAATCTTACATGTCCTGTGCAATCATCCTGAAAACTTTCTCTGATAGAAGAAGTAGAAGGGAGAGATCATGTTTGCCACTTCTGAAATAGGGGGATAAAGCGGCACAAAAAATATATGGGAGGTCTCTGGGCATTTTTGTTGTGTGAAATGAAAAACACAGATAAGGGGTTTAAAACTTATTTCCTGACTATGTCACCCTATGCAGTAGTCTTCACCTAAATATAGATGGCAATCATGCTTGCAGCAAATCAAAATAAATACCAAATCCAGCAAAAATTGGCTCTGTGTAACAACATAGTGTTTGTCTGGTACAAGGCCAACACCTAACCATTGCATGTCTAGAGAGGGTTGGGAAGCAAGAGCAAAACCAGACACACATGTCCCTGAGACCCCTTGGCATTTTTAGGCCACATAAGGATGAAGTGGTTTACCCATTGACGTTCTTCACAGCATCGGTGCCGGATGCAGGAACCAAATAGAACCGCTCCCCATCGCCTGCATTGAAACCAACCTGCAAAACATCACAATATCAATTGGATGAAACATTTTTATCAGTCGATTTCCCCTTCTAATATAAATCTTTTACACACAAGTTAAAATCACAAGTGCTGCCAGGAGTAGCCAAGACCTTAAACTCTGACATCCTCTTAATTAGAAATCTTCCAAACATCTGCAAGTACTAAATTGATAAGACTTTTCAGCAGCAGATAGTGCCAGCAGGCTACAGGCCACATACCTCTTCACTACAGTATGGAGCCATGCCAGCATTAAAATCTCCTTTACTTTTACGTTAACTTAGGATTCAATCGTTAGGATATGGCTGATTTGACTTTAATATATCATTTCTTGTATTTCATATATCTGTCACACATTAATTTTTACTGGATGTTTGGCTATTCAAGATTTACAACATGAGCGAACAAGGTACCAAAAGCTTGAAGATTATGGAAAATATTCTTGAAAAGTTACATGCCCTGATCCCAACTTAGAATGGCTAAAGGAATCCCGTCTATTCTGACTGAGGACATCAGCTAAATAATCTTGAAGTACATGTAGTTGGAACTGGATGAAAACTGAGGCAGAACGATTACTTCTACTGCCGCAGACCCACTTTCTAAAGCATAGACACATTGTTCTACATTCAAACTAAAAGAACAAACAAGAAAGCAAACCTGGGCTGGCAGTTCTCCAGCAGACCGCCTGCCTGGGCGTTGGATGGTTCTCCACCACTGGATACCGTCCGCCTCGTAATGGAAGAACACAAATGATTCTCTCTCTCCATCAGTGGCAATCACAGCTTGGAAAGTGTTCCTCTGGGGAGAAAACAAGAAGAAGACACTTTAGTTCATTGAAACATTACAGCACTTGCTCTTTCCACTAAAGAACATGGCTAAAAAAGCTGTAACAACTGTTTTATATAACATGTGTCTAAATGTAACTACATTAAATTTAAATCCAAATGAAAGATATACAATTTGAGAGTTAACAAATGCTCCTTATTCATATTAAGGAAAGGCTTTCTTCATCATGCTGTTAACCCGTCTGTGAAGTCTTGCACCTCCCACTTGAGGTAAGTACAAGTTTGATACCTTGTCATCTCCATCGGGGTAGTATCCAACATCCACCCAGGTAACGATGAACAGTGCATTTGCTGTGAAGCCGGAGGACTGGTCAGGGAAGTACTCCCGGATAGCAGTTGATGCCTGGCCCAACAGTCGCTGATCAGTCGTCTCTCGGTAGAAAACTTGTCCTGCAGCTTCAGTGTCCACATCGGTGGAGAAGACAGAGATGACGGACACGTCCAGTGGGAAGCGCTCAGTGATGTATTCTGACACGGCTTTGCCAAAAGAGATGATACCATTCGTGCTCACCTGCAAAAAATGTTTTCGTCAAAACATGAAGATAAAAAGAACAAGCACCTTTCTTAATCTTACAATCAAAAGCAACAAGGAATTCAGGTCTTCCCTACAATTTAAGCCCTTGTTCTTTTGGCCAAGGCCTAAAAAACAGCAGTCTGATTTAAGGTATCTTTTTCTCAAATCAATCAACAAAATGATGATAAAAAAAGACTGTCCTTATTGATGCATCATGTCTACATGCCTGTGCAATTATTCATGTGCTTATTCTTCAAATTCTCTTTCTTTCATTTCCTTAGCCAAGTCTTAAAAACAGCATAATGCCAAAAACAGTTTCCTGCAATATCTGGCTTCTTAATCAGTAATCTATACATAAAACAGAATTTACCAAACAGCTGAGTAGACAAAATGCCTGACTGCAGGGTAGATGAACATAATTCCACACAGGAAGTGAAGCAAGGAAAGATACATGAAGTAACAAAATGTAAAAATTATTAATGGAATGAGGACTATAATCATAAAGTAGGTTGTCTTGGGAACCAAGGGTTCTAAAATCACAGTCAGACATTTTTGACAGCATTTGATTAGTTGTGTATTTACAAGACTCTTCAATTTCTGTAATCTTTACACTGTTGGGTAACTGTAACAGGTCTAACAACTGACCAGTCAACCTAAACACTTCTTAACTTACACATCTATCAGTACTGAATCAACTTACAAGGTAAACCTCCTAAATTCCTCTGCTGTCAAGCAAGGAAACTTCAACATTGAATTATCTCCTTGCCAACTACTTAGACCATGGAGGTAAAAGAGGAAGTTCTCTCTTTTACCTCCATGCTTAGACATAATTCCCTATGCTATGGAGTTGTGTTGTAACAGACACTATAATTATCTTGACAATAGAGTTATCTGTGAATACCATTACCACCCAACAAGGACTGTATATAATGTCCTTGCACCCAATAAACAAACCCCCACAAGAGTGAACACTTCACACAACACACACAGTGCTGGTGAAATGCATGTCAGCAGGGTTACAAACAGATAGCACCCCTGGCTGTGATAGACATAGGACAAAAAACTTGAGAAGAGTCAAAGGAGTAAAGATGGAAATTCTAGAAGCCACGGAAGACCCTTCCCCTGACAAGACAGAACAGGTGTAGCTCAAGACAAACAAGCCCTTTTAACCAATTCTCCCTTCTTCTTCCTCTTGACAGCCATTGTCAGCAGAAAAAGGTCCAATTTGTGAGCTGAATAGATTTGTTTATGTATGTAGATTGTCCAACTGTTTAGGGTAACAATCCCCATAAGAATTCCCACTGCCTGCTTTGTTTACCTTTCCTATGGAAATTCCCTTATTCAAAGTCTCTGAGACATTGTTTTGGAATCTGAACCCAAACAAATAACAGAGAAATTTTCACAACAAAGGGAACCTAACATCTCCAATTACCCATTTAAAAGGACAAAAAGATCACAACTGAGCCCCATTAATCAGTGGTCCCCAGTGTTGTGACCTTGAGGTCCTGGGTGAAACCACCCCAAGTCAAGGGCTGGCTTATACCTAACACAGGAACAGACCACAACTATGCCTTCTGCATGCTTCCATAATCTGGGAGAAACTCTAGTCATCAAAGTCTGCATTTTCCCTGTCTATGAACTTGTTCAAGTTAGAGGTTGGGAGACTCAGACCTTTCTCTACTTTGATAAGGAGCATCAAATAAATTAAAGTTATGTGCAATAAAATTAAGTTACATGATACATAAAGTAATTCTGAGTACCAATCATGCATACATCCTGCAGGGGTTTTTCTGAACAGGGGAACAAGGGCGCTGCGCCCTCATGTAACAAGCTAGCGCCCTCATATCAATTTTCAGATTGAAGCCTAAGTCTTTTTCAAAATCATCTTTTTCCAATAAAAACACAAAAACAACACTACATAACAATGTATTGTAGCATTACAAACTACGTTACTGTCATAAAAATTTCAAAATCTTACCACAAACATGAAAGTTTAGCTCTTGTAGTAAAAGTTTGAATGGAATAAACAATGTTCATTGAGAAGTTGCTCAAAGAAATGTAGCTTCCTCCTTCATTTGCATACTGTAGAACAGGCTCTGAAGTGAAACATGAGACCTGAGTTTGTAGCAGCTTGGATTGCAACTTTGCCATGGGAAAGGTTTGAGCTTGTGGCAAACCCAATGTTGTCATCTGGAGATACTAGTAACATTGATCACTAATTGTGTAAAAGTATATAAAGGGTGATTTGCAGATTGTGTGTACTGTTGATTGTACTTAATATACTGTATTTCATAGGGAAATATGCAATGCATGAATAGAAATTTGGAAAAGACATTGGAAAAAATAACCTTGAGTCTATCTATCCTTCTCCTATGGTTTTTACATACATATAGTACTACTGGAAATGTCTATTGAGCATTATATCTAGCATATATATTGTAAATCTGTCTGCCATGCTGTTTGTTTTCAAAGAAACATACAATGAAAGAGTTCAAATTTCCGTCCTCAAGTAGACTCAAAATGTCCCATTTAAACTTCAAATTTTCAAAGGCTTCACATGGCGGAAGGGGGGATACCCCCCTTCCGCACCAACCCCCCTCGGTCGCTTCCCTCCCTCGCCGTGCTCCCTCATGCCAAATTTTTCTAGAAAAACCCCTGTCCTGGGTACAAAATTACCAATTTAGAGTTAGACTTTAGACAAAGTAATCTTCAATTATTTATATCGTCAATAAAACAATCACACTGTCTGTTACAAGGAGCTTGAATATTCAAACACTTTCAATTCAAGAAGCTGGAAGACAAACAAAAACTTCTCCCATTTCCTCTAGTAACAGGCAAGATAGCCATAGCCTGGTATCCATCCGTTTCCAGGAGTACACTGGTGTGGTGGTCGACTATTGGGTAACTGTTAGGGAGCAGACACAAGCTGGAAAGGGAAGGATACCAGGCTAAGATAACCAGACTATGGCACAGGAAGTATCCTAACCAGGGCTGGAAGCAAAGATAAACAAGCCAGCACAGATTAAAAGACAGATACAAAGGAGGTGATGACAGCATCCTTGCAGAACCAGGAGTCCTCAAGAACTTTTCAGACCTTATGCAACAAGTACCAAGTCACTAGCTGAATGCTATTTGCAGTTCCATCTTTGAAGTCAGTCATCATGTCAAGTAC